ACCGGGGCGACACGCCGTGCGCTGCAAGGCTGTTACTGATGCACCGCTCTCGGCGCGGGGCGGCCAAGGCTCGTCCCCCGTGCTCTTAATTTCCCCCTCTCCCCTGTGCGCAGTGCCCTCCCCCCGTTCATCCCTGGCGCACAGACCCTGTGTCTGGCAGAGACCCTGGCTAATCTCTGCTGCAAACTAACCCTCTCCCCAGGTTTCAGGAGCTGGAGCTGTCATTTAACATACTTCTCCCTGCCCGCTCCAGCTTTCCGGGCTCTCGCCCCCTGCTTAGTTCAGGGGGAAAGTCCTTCACTGTGCAAGCAGTAACGCTTCTGACCGGGACCGTCCCAAGGAGCCTCTGCTCCACCCTGCCCCCAGCCTCCTTTCTGCTCCAAGAAGCAGCCTCCATCCTTCCTGCCTGCCAGACTGCCTGTGCCCAGCCAGCCCCCCCACCCTTTCTGGGCCAGCGGCGCAGCGGTGCTTGCAGCGGGCAGGGATACGGCAATGTCCCGCTGCGGTCCAGAGCAGGCGCTGGCAGCAGCTCCGGGAGAGGGCCGTGCCCCGTGCAGGCTCACGGGAGACCCTGAGGGAGACGAGGCAGGAGCAGGCTGGTGTCCACGTGCCAGGCGAGACAGCGTGCCGCTAAACGATTACCTTTTTTGCAGTTCAGGTGCGCTTGCTTTCCTGGAATGAGCAAATGGCAGAAAAACGCAGATCTCTCTTCAGACTCAGCAAGGTGAGGGCAAGTGCCATCCGGACAGGCGGCTTCCCCCCAAATTCCTTGCTTTCAGGTTAATGCTCTGCCCCTTATCTCACCCTGGTTTCCCGGGGACTCAAGGCATTTTGCGAACGCTGAAGAGAAAAAGCTCAGAGCGCGCAGCCAAGTGTGTGAGCCCCATTCGCGGACGGAGAAGCTCAAGCACATGGTGCAAAGTGACGTGCTCGAGGCCGGAGACATCCCCAAGGTCTCCAGCTTTGAGCCCAGCAGTCATTTTTTTATTGCACGTTTCCATCCTGGCGGTGTCTTTGCAGTTCTGCTTCGTACCACGGGAGGTCACCAAGGCTTAGCAGATGTGGTAGCCCCCCACACTGTGCCCTGACTCCTCAAATTCCCGTCTTCTGGTGCGCAGGCCTGGAAAGAGATTGCAGCTGGGTGTAGGCTGGCATATGCCAAGGATGCTAGAGACTGCCATAAATTCTCGTGGGCGAAGCTATTCATAGCAAGGGACAGATTTTTTCCCATCTGGGCTTTTGTTAACGTGACCACAAATCTCTCTCTAACTTCTAGCGCTTGGGTATTATTTCTTATGCTAGAGCCATGCATCCAGAGGCTCTGCGGGCAGGACGAGAGGCTCTGCTGTGCCCGTGTTATGCACGCCGCGTTTTGCAGAGCTCACAACTACGTGCAATTGTCAGTGGCCTTATTGTGCCCAAGGGTGCACCTGCCTTTGGGGATTAGCAGTATTCCCCAGCTGCTAGGACAGACAGGCACTGCCAGGGGACAATTTCAAAGCAAGGGGACTTGCAGGCTGGGAGATCCAGAGAGAAGCTTTTTATAAGATGAAATAAAATGCAGCCAAAGGTCACAAATGAACTTAGCCTGGAAACTGGATCAAAACCAAGGGCATGTTCCTGAAAAGATTTACCCTCTGGGACGTGAAGAGTGCAGTGCTTTCCCGAAGGGAGAGCAGGAGTTGTATTCACCCTCCCTGGGCTAGCTGGTCCAGGCTGGTCTGTGAGTGACACTCGCAAGCAGGGAATAATGGAGCCTCTGGGACCGCCTGCCTGCAAAATCCAGCCGGCAGCGCGGGGAAATGCCAGCCCCCCGCCCCGACCTGCT